CCTGTCCTTTGTTCCCTTCGAACTCTGTTTCTCTATTTTCTTTCATGCAAAAAAAAAAAGAATCGGATCATTGCAGAAGAAATGGCCGCTTTATTCACGCTCTCAATGTTGTATTCTTTTAAAATAGACGCTTTCACGCTCTCGCTTCGCGAACTAGTTACCTAAGTTTGCCCCACATGGTCTCTGGTTCGAAGCTTCGGTACTCTCTTTCTCTCTCTACTCGCTGTCTCCACCCAATCCACTCCTCCAAACTTTCTGATTTCAACTTTCGCTTCTGTATTTCTCCATCTCTGGTTTGCGGAAAAGTTGGTTTTTCTTTTTCTATTCTTGCAATCTTAACTGCAATGGCGAATTGCTGGCCGAACCCAGATCCTTGTAAGGCTTTGACCCCCTGAATCTACCTTCGCCTAGGGATGACAACAAAACCCGAACTCGCGGGTACCCGACCAGACCAGGTCAACGCGGGTAAAATCCGTGTTGACGGGTTTAAACCCGTTCACTATTCACCGGGTTGGCTTGGGTTTGGGTTTAGGTAAATCCGCCCCATGGGTACCCGCCCACAACCATATAATTAATTTTTCCGGTATATTTAATATTCTAAACAACTAATCTTCTTTATGTTTGTGGAGACATGTCTAATTTTTTCTTTCTAATTGTGTAGAATGAAGTTGATATTATTGAGTGGAGAGTGAAGAAGCTTAATTGACAAAGAGGAAGAAGCTTTCAATTAATCATGTTGTTTATGGATAATTTGTGATTTGCTTCAATTTTCTCGAGTTTTCTAGATTGATGTTAACCAATTTGTATGGTTAATTAGTGATTTGCTTGAATTTTCTAGAGTGGTGTTTTATATATGGATAATTTGTATTGAGAGATTGATATTTGACTTTATTTTGATAGAAACTTGTTATTGTAAATTTTTTACGACAAAAACCCATGAGTACCCACGAACCCGCGGATACCCTGCGGGTTGGGTTGGATTTGAGTTTTTCAAACCCATTTGGTTTTACCCCGGATTTTTTTCACGGATAAACCCATAAATTTTGGTTTGGGTTTGGCAAAACCCGACCCAACCCGACCCATTGTCATCCCTATCTTCGCCACAGATCAAATCTCCAACCTCAGACTTGGACTTGATTTCACCGTCTAGGTTAAATGAAAGAAAGCTTGTGTTAGATAATAATTGTGATCTTCTACCAAGGAGTGCTTTCAAAGCTCAAGTCCCAGATTAAAGGCGTTTTGTCTCAAATAAGAAGTTTCGTGAATTTGTCTAAGTAGTTCGCGCTCCAATCTATTATGATTCGCAGTTTATGAATGAACTAGCTTGTAACCCGACCCGTTGGTCGGAGGAGCTGAGCCGAATATTGAATTATTGGGATAACCCGTAGATTCAACCATTAAGCTAAATTGGTCTAATGGTGAGTATCGCCTAGCATATCCCTAATAATCATACCAAAGTGAATATATTGGAACATAAACAGTACATCAAAAGTTGGTACAACCATGAAGTTAGACCATTAAAAACATACCAATGAAATTGAATAGCATCGAAAAACTTCAACTTCATTATATAATTACATGAGATCAGAAAGAGAACACCATTAATTTGATTTATAAAACTTTCATCTTGTCGTCATTGTGCTTTCTGGTTTTTGTCAGGCCATGATAAAATCTAAGAAAATCAAGAACGAACAACACGATTTGGGATAGGAACCGCCGTTGTCGTATTCCTAGAGAATGGTGGTAAACACGGACTCACCTGCCAAACTGGTTTGGATTGAGATTTTTATCGGGTATCAGGGAACCATGTGATTATAAATTAGACTTGATCAAAACGGGCCAAAACTCAAAATTCAGCCTGCTTGACCGAACCATGCAAAATTCTAATTATTCGTTACTTTTAAACTTTCTATTTGAAAATAAAAAATAGTGAAAGAAAATAGATGACTGCAATTCGCCATTTGCACATCACTTATTCGGGAATAAAACTATAGAAATTCAAAAGAAACTGAAAATGTTTAGGATCATTTTAATGTTTAAAATAACCAAATAGATCTTTCTGTTTAGTTTTTTACTAACAAATACCAAGCGATTCCCTATAAAATACACTATAATTTTATCATTATGATATCAAATAATTATATAATATATATTTGAAATGATAAAAATTGGACTAATTGTGTTGGTCGAGGTTGAACCATTGAATAACTTTAAACTACATTATATTTTAGCCACTAAGATATAAAATAATATAATAATATATATTATGCTAGAGAAAATAGCTTGTTTTAGAATTTCAAACCAATGATGTTCATTTGTTTTACTTGATGGCCAAATCTGGTGTAGGTCAGGCCCATTCTACTCTTTTATTTTATGGTTAGCGGTTAGCCCATTAGATACCATGTATTAGTTTATTGTTAAATTTTTTTATTTTTAGTATAAAAAGAAGTATTGTTTTTGCTTTTTCATATATATTTTATCACCACGGAGAAATACAAGGGCTTAAAGAAAAAAATTGACACTCCTGAACCCGTTTAAATCCGCATGTGTACGGTAAGTTGGCCCGTTCCACAGAGGAAAGAGAAAAAAATTAACACTACCTATTCTACCCTTCCTACAAACGCTCATGGAGCAGGGAATTTGAAATGGGGGAAGGGGTTTTTTCTCCCTGCTATTATATGTTTTTGATTTAAAAAGATACAACAAATGTACTTAGTGTGATTGGTTATGTTTCTTGCTTTTCTTTAAAATGGACATGGTTTGAATCCCAGTATGTGTCTTTTTAATGAATAAAAAAAATAATTGTGAAGACCAAAATGTCCTTCCTACTTTCACTCTCGTTGCAGGAAATTTGAAATGGGGCTCCCGTTTTTTCCTTCGGTGTATTATATTATGTGTAGATTATTGACAAAGCGTGCTTTGCCGCGCCAAAGCGGGCGTGGCGGCCATTGATCCACGAATTGGGTAACATAAGGAACAACCTTCCTCAAGAAATACTTTGTTATGGAACAATCTCTACAAGTATGTGGACGATTTTCAATAACTCCAGGGCACCGAAACCAATATGGTGATGAAACTAGTTGCTTCGAGTGGAGCCGTTATCGGTGTTGATTTTGTCTAAAGAAAGAATCCAAACAAAGCTTCGGACTCATTCAGGAACCAGAAGCTTCTATATAGTTTTCCAAGGTGATTGTGTGGTGATAGTTGGAAACGCTTGTGAAGCATGAGTCATCTGATATGTTGATTTTGTGGAAAAGTGACCAGTAGAGAACTCTCTCCAAAATAACCTGTCTGTCATGGTTGCAAGAGGATCAACTGCCAAGGATGTGATTTTCTAAGTCACATTCGAGGGCAGGAGTGACTAGAAACTTGCTTTAATCCATCTTCTTGTGTCATCGATATAATCTGCAACAACGCCGGTGTCGAGTAGGGCCTCCGGGACTTGGTTGGTGGCCAGCTGCAGCAAGAGAACCTGCAAAATTCAAAGATCGGTACAAAATATAGTGTTCTTTCTATTACGAATATTCCAAATACATTCTTGTATCAGGATTGAAGTAGCTTTGTTAATACTACGCCAGGTGAAGGAACTTCCCTTTACAGTTAGAAATATGTTGAAATTTTGTCTTCTCCTAGCATACTTGCTTTTCATAACCTTTACCCAAAGAGTGTTTAATTTTGTGAGCATTCGCTAGCCCGTTGTTGACTTGATATATACACATGTTTTTGTCCACCATTCTTATATCGTTTGAGTCTTATTTCTCGTGTTTTAGGCCGATTTCACGCTAGGTTGTTCTTGTTTGTGATTTTTCAGGTCCTAGTACGTGAATGAAGGTTTGGGAACGAGTTCTGGGTCGATTGGACGAAGATTGGACGTTTGGCGAGAAGCTGGGAAAGCCACACGGGCACGCCTAAAATCCCACACGGCCGTGTGACTTGGCCGTGTGGCACCATTTTGCACGGGCAAGCCACACTGGCCGTGTAGGGGACCCCTTGTGGCCGTGTGGAAAGTCCAGGAAGCTCACACGGGCAGCCTGGAAATCCACACGGCCGTGTGTCCCTGGCCATGCAGCATGCTTGGAAGTCACTTAATCGAAACGCGGTGTTTTGAGAGGCACACGGGCAGCTGGAATTTCCACACGGCCGTGTGGTCGGGAATTTCTGGGTTTTAACCCAATTTCGAGCCAAAGGAGAGGGAATCAATTTTTTGGAGCAAAAACGGAGTTTTAGAGAGAGAAAGTGCGAAGAACAAACCCTATGAGCTATTTGGAGTGGATTTCTCACCATTGAAGCCCAGATTGCATCCCTAGGAGTGAAGATTGACATCCTAGAGCAGATTTTCCTCATCTTTATGAGTATGACTACTCTGATTTCTGTTTTCCTCTCTCTCTCTCTATGGAGTAGAACTTTCTCTCACTTGGGTATGAAGAACCCTAGTTTCATGTGTTAGGAATCTTGATTGTAATTACGTTTGGATTGTGATATTGCTTGATTATAATCGATTGAAGTGTTTTGATTGAGTAAATTGAAGTCTGATCATCTTTTATTGATTTCTGCTGCAACCTGAGATAGATAGAATCTGATTAGGTTGTTAGAGCTTCTTCAATCGGTAGTAGTGAATCGATTATACGAGAGTTAATCGATTCACTGCTTTGTACTGGAATCTAATTCCAGTAGTGGAGTTCTGTGTTCATTGCCTCAGCGTTCTATCCCGGTGAAGATTAGTCGTCTGCCGGGTAGTTTGACTGAGAGGGCTTGGTCAGCTTAAGAGATTCCAAGCTACTGCACGATCTTCCGCAGTATAATCAGCAGTATAGCAACTAAAAGTAATTACAACTGTGACCTAACTAAGGAGCTAGGGGAACTCATTCCCGAGTGACTCTTCCTTTGCTTTAGAAAACTGAACCATTTCCTGCTTTCTTACTGCTTTTACTTAAATCAACAATCACTTAACTTAGTTTGCTAGATAATAGATATACACGGAGTAGGCAGTAGATCTAGAACTTGCCTGTTACTGCATTTCCGGACTGCGATTACACTTGGTCGCAGTTTGGTGTTGTGTTTTAGCGTGTCAAGTTTTTGGCACCGTTGCCGGGGACCCTCTAGGTTATTGGAGAAACGTGAAAGTTAGTTACTCTAGCCTTTTCCTTACTACATTTTCTCTCTTCCACCTGTGTGCCTTCACAGGTTGCTTTTGCTGATTATGTGCAGGTAGTGCATGACCCGTAGCCAGTCGGGATATTTACTACCATTAGACCAGGAGCTTGAACGGACCTGTAGGAACTTCAAGCTGGCTCTAAAGGCGCGACTGGCTGCGAAGGAGGCGCTAGCACAGCTGCAAATCGCCGACGAAGAAGAGATGAGGGACCCACAGGACCATGATGCGGTCCTTCTTGAGGAGCAGACCATGGGATACTACCGGACTGCTAGAGCCGCGGACATGAGGTCGCCCATTCAGCACCCTCATGTGCCACCGAATAACTTTGAGGTGAGCACCTCTGTCATCACCATGCTGCGCGGTTTGGTGGTATTCCGAGGCAAGGAGGGGGAGTGCCCCCAATCACACCTGAGGCGATTCCACGAGCTCATCGATGGGATTAAGATCAATGGGGTCCCAGCCGATGCAATCCAGTTGTGGTACTTCCCGTTTACTCTGGAGGGGCAAGCCAAGGAGTGGCTAGACACTCGACCTCCAGGTTCGATCACCACGTTCGCCAACCTGGCGGACAAGTTCCTCACTTGCTACCATTCCCTGTCCAAGACGGCGGACCTGCAGAAGCAAATCACACACTTTGCTCAGGATGAAGATGAGACCATCCAGAATGCTTGGGAAAGATACACCAGTCTTTTCCTCAAGTGTCCCAACCATGGTTTTACCGACGCCTTCAAGGTGGACACCTTCTATCATGCCCTCTTCCCGGAAGACAAACAGCTGATTGACTCGGCTTGTGGCGGGAATATGCTCACCAAGACACCGCCACAGCTGAATCAACTTTTTGAAGAGATGGCATAGCAGGGCTATGATTGAGGAACTGCGAGGAGATTAAGACGAGAACCTGGGCGAGGTGTGCATGTTGTAGCCACCCAGTCATATGATTTGATGCAGGTGGTATCGAAGCTGGTTTCAGCCATCGATCAATCGGGAATGATTTCAGGTACAGGACAGCAGCAGGCGATGCACTGCCAGTGGTGCGAGAGCACCCATCACACGGTGGAAGACTGCCAGACGATGAGGGAGTCGACTACACCCCAGGAGCAAGTGAACTTCATCAATAATGCTAGGCGCAATGACCCCCTACAGTAACACGTACAACGAGGGGTGACGCCAGCATCCCAACTTCTCCTGGGATGGGGCCAATCCTAGACCACCAGCCTCCCAAGGACCGCCAGACTTCTAGAGGCCGCCATATCAGCCCAGATAGGGGCAATTCCAGCAGCAGTCTCTCTACCAGCCCATGAAGGGGCATGCTACTCAACCACAGCCGCGACCCTTCCAGCAGCCAGGTGCAGCCCCTGCAACCCCAGTGCAGAATGATCCGATAGCTGAATTGCGGGACTTGGTGGGTTCTCTTGCCAGTTCCAGTGCTCAAAAATTCAATACTATCGAGCAGTTCATGGGAAAGGCCTCGGGTAAATTCCTGGCTCTTGAAGCTGGCCAGAGGAACACACAGGCTGTCTTGCAGGATATCCAAACCCAGCTGGGGAGTGTGGCTCAAGCAGTGGTGCAGATGGCTCCAAGTACCTTGCCAGGTCATACCATTCATAATCCGAAGGACCCGAATGCCCACTGTAATGCCATCACAACAAGGAGCGGCAAAGAGACTGCATACCCACCTGTCATGGCCAGACAAGCGGGAGGTAGACCTGCCTCGGCATCTCCAGCTGTTGAAGAAGAAGCGGAGAAGGAGGTTGAGGTGCCTGCGCCTAAGCCGCAACCAGTAGTGAATGAGTATATCCCTCAACTCCCGTTCCCTACTCGATTGCACAAAGACAGGCTAGAGGCAGAGTTCGGGAACTTCATGTCCATGCTTAGGAAGCTGAATGTCCAAGTGTCCTTCCTGGAGGCACTATCTCAAATTCCTAAGTATGCGAAGTTCCTGAAAGATCTTCTCTCAAAGAAGCAGAAGCTGAGCGAGCTGGCCACTGTGGAGCTCAGCGAGGAGTGCCCCTTATACTGGGAAGGCCTTTCCTGGCAACCGCTAAGGCTCTCATAAATATACTTGATGGGACCTTAGTCTTGGTCACTAAAAGTATTTTATTCCAGTCGTAGTCATTGAAAGTGATTAAATGCTTCATGTTTGATCACACTTCGTTAGTCTCCTTCAGACACCGTTGACCATTAGTATTTTGCTGACGTTGCTAACACGAATGTTGATTCACTCATTTTTAACCCGTCACGTCACACCCTCTGCATAAACCAATCTAATTCAACCCTTAACCCAACGCACAACTCGACCACTCCCCCACCCCCACCGCTGCCGCCTGCCATCCCCACCTTCCACCATCGCGAGGCCCTTGACGCTGCTCTCCTCCTCCTTGTACCACAACGAATTGGCCACTACCACCCTGTGAAGAGGGAAATCAGTCCCAAAGTCCCTCCAAGCACCGGCGCTAGAGAAACAGAGGAGCAGAATATTTGCATGGGTAACTCTGACATTCCTGAAGGAGTCCATCAAACTAACTGGAAATGTGATCAATAATTAGAATACAAGTCAAGGAGAGGAAACTTGGAACAAGCAAAGGAATGAAATAGAGCTTTGCATCCAGCACTCCCCTGGTCTTAAATCGGTAGTCTAGGCCAGCTGCCAGGAGTTTAGCCTGTCTGCAAGGTCATCATAGTGGCGGCCCCAGCCTAAATGATACGACATGGAACATCTATACATGGAGCATTTCTACTATGCTATATAGTATTGGTGCTTTAATGTACAACTTAAAGTTGTACCATAACATGAAATGTATAAGTTTAGATTGTACCATAAAAGAATTTGTACCATTATGTTATGGTACAACTTTACAACTTGAAGTTGTACCATCACATAAAGGTACAAGTTCAAGTTGTACCATAAAAGAATTTGTACAAACAGTATAGGTATAATCCAAAGTTGTACCATAACGTTAAATGTACAATTTCAAGTTGTACCATAAAGGCAAAAACCTATAGCACCAATACTATATAGCATTGTAAAATTCCTCCTATACATATACATGTCTGTGTTTTCCCTTGATGGGATTGAACGGTAGACAAAGATACATCTTGAACTACGACAAAATGTATATCTATCCCCGACACCTTCTAGGGAAGAAATGAATGAGTTAGGTTTAGCTCCACAACTCCTGTTACTTAGGCTGTGAACGATGGCAAAGAATGATGCATCTGGTTCTCAGCTGAATAATAATAAGTTAAAAACTAAAACAAGATACTGATCTCTGTTTCCAAGCTTCACCACTGCGGAATCTAAGGAGCCATGACGAGCTTCCAGTCGAAAATTGTCCAGCCAAATGTCGATCCAATCTAGGATGTCGAATATCCCCTTCGACTTATTCGCTTCGACAACCGCCTCCGATGAGACTTTCCCAACGATGAACAATGTCTGGTGAAGATTCCTGCAACAGAAAAACGAGAAGTACGAGAGAACCAATCACATGAATGCCTGCCTTGCGAGCTGGTATTGTCGCCGAAGATTAGATGGAATGACACTCGGTAGGGAAATACCAATAGCATCTGGGGTGCCTTGTTCTAAAAGTCAAGGGAGCCGTTCTGGGAGGGGGAACCAGAACAGCTTCCAGACGTGCCATAAGATCTCCCCCGAGAACCATCAATCGGGGCTTGATTCAAGCATTCCAAAACCAAATACCGACGTTTTTGAAGCTTTATCGAAAGCGTTGTTGCCTCCAGAACTGCAGGAACCTGATCACAACTCGGAATTAGCAATAGTAACTTGGTTTCTTAACTCTCAAAAGTCCATCAATAAACAGAAGTAACTGAACAAAGAGCCATATTATTACTTGAGTGTTGATGCGTGGCACTTTGTTTATGTTAAGAAAGCCGACGATATCCTGGTAGCCCGTGAGGAGTTTCGCCAACTCCTTGTCTTCGTCTGTGGAAAGAAAAATCCTCCGTGTGTAACTCCCAAAACATTAGATTTGCAGAAGTACTACAAAAAGGAAAACGTTAAGACAAACCTGGGATTGCTTTGACCGACACCAGACAGTCTGCTAGATGCTGCCATCTTTTACAGAAGGAAGGTGATACAAGGGACGAAGGGAATGTAATTATAGCAACTGCATTTGCAGACCGCACAGTGGTCTTCAAAGCTATAATAAAGGAAAGCATTTCCCATTCCTACAAGAATCCATTCTTTTTACCACTTTAAGGTTTGTTGGGCATGAGGGTTAAATAGAAAGAGATTATGAAAGAAAGTTATAATGAAAGCAATCTGTAATCAGGTTTAAATGCGGACTGCTGCTGACCATGGAGGAGTTTTCACATTGGGGTGCACATAAAGACTGGATGGCAATACGGCCAGTGCAAACAATGTTCGAGTCACTTTTGAACATGACAAGTAGAAGATTGGTAAGGCCAACAAAGTCAATAGTAAAAGATGTATGTTAAGGGACATACAAAACACAATTTTCGTTGTTTCTGGCATTATGCATGAAGACAACATGCATGTTCCTTTTGAAGATGGAAGCTTCTAGGATATAAAGTTCCCGAATGATAAGCCCGAAGTCAAGGAATCGCTCAAAATATTGTCAGAAAGTTCACAGAAGTACCTGGGAAAGTGTGACAAAAACGAAGTGCAGCACTCCTGAAGTGGAGCAAGATTTGGTAGGTCTTGGGTGCTAATACAATCTACATGCTGCGTGGTGTAGAAATGTCTATCCAATGGCCTCCACAGGTCAAACTCGTTCGAGAAATATTGTTTGTTATCTGCAATAAATGAACATAAGATTATCAAACGACTTCATTCCGCAACAAAGACAAACACAAAGATCAATATACTGAAACAAAATCATGCCTCTTTGAGCATCAAGGTTTGACTGATTTTCACCAAAGTACTTCTTGTACTGCCAAGCAATTCTCAAACCCTTCTCCTGCATTATCAATTGCAAATTGAATAGCATAGACTAAATTGAGATAGAGCCAAACAGAATGCAGAGATGAGTTGCATCATAAGACCTGTTATGCATCACGATTGCGGGATTTATCATCTTTGGGAGAGGAAGGACTAGGCAAAGTACCCAAAAATCCTCTTGGGTCTTTGGACGGACTAGCATAAAGAAGAGGCTGCTTATGAACAAGTCTTTGTGACATGAAGTTCCTCAATAAAAGCACTTATGAACAAGTCTTTGTGACATGAAGTTCCTCAGTAAAAGCATGTGATGAGGTGCTTCTGAATCTTCCATCACCATGACTAAACTTCCCAAAGGAATTCCACCACCAAGCGTCTCTGCATTTGTCGAATGAAACCACTTGTCATTATATGAATTAAGAAGAAAGGAATTTTGTTCTCTAGGAAAATAGAGGAAGAACAGATTATATTACTGTCAAGATCAGGTATTCCAGAGGAGACAAAAAAATGTGCCATTAGGACCGCACTTGATTTCAGGGCTCTGAGCAGAAGATGCAGCCGGTAGGTTGCGAGAGAAGCTACTTGTCCGAGTCTTAGTAGCAGCCATTGCTGCTCCTGTAAGTTTAACCCTCTATGCCAAACCAGGACAGCTGAACCGCCGATGCTACTCGTGTAAAGGTCGAAATCTGAAACGACATGCAAATTTCAATAGATATAAACCAACCAGGCACGCGCTCACTGACTAAACAGTTAACTGTTCAACAACAACTTACAGAGGCTTTTTGTCGAACACCTGGTATGCACTATGCAGCTTTGGAATTAAGTAGAGGAGTGCAACTCACGACGTCGATTCAAGCTTTCGAATCAACCTGCACTGTATTGATTGACTAAATCGCTAAACACAGAAGTTTGGGAGCGAACTAGGACGTAAGACGAACAGTGTACAGTTTATTACCAGGCTGCGGCAGCGGAACAAGCTGAGCAAACCGACGTCCTTCAAAGAACGCTCACTTTCCTCTTCCTTTTCTTTCTCAGCAACCAAGTCGTCAATTGCTGGCTTCTTCCTTTTGCCGGTCAATGCTCAACGGCAGGAGTTTCCTTTCTGCAAACAGGCGATGCAACGGCGAGCGGGAAAAGAGAAGTTCGTCTCCGCTAGCTCGACGGCAGCCGTTATTCAATTTTCCCGCCGCAATGCAACTATATTGGGCCTCCATTGACTAAGCCGCCCATTCTATTATCTCCCTAGCTCATTTCTCTAATCGGCCCAAATACGAATGCTCGACCAGCTTGGTCGAACAAAGGGCGGCCCACCAACAAAGCCACAAAGGCCGAACAAAAATTCTATCCATCTACAAACTATAAGATTGGAAACACTTTTACTATGCTATATAGCATTGGTGCTTTAATGTACAACTTGAAGTTGCACCATAACATTATATGTATAAGTTTAGGTTGTACCATAAAGGAATTTATATCATTATGTTATGGTACAACTTTACAACTTGAAGTTGTACCATCACATAAGGTACAAGTTTAAGTTGTACCATAAAAGAATTTGTACAAAAAGTATAGGTAAAATATGAAGTTATACCATAACGTTAAAGGTACAATTTCAAGTTGTACCATAAAGGCAAAAACCTATAGCACCAATGCTATATGGCATTGTAAAATTCCTCTAAGATTGGATTGTTCATATACTATTTGAGGGAAAGAAATATCAACTATTTCCAACAAAAAAATCATGTGATCATTTTTTTAATGTACACATAAGAGCTTATTAACTCATAATAACTGTCACCTACTAATTGATTTCAATAACTCAAGATAGTGACTGATGCTATTGGATTTTGTATGCTTTTTATTTTTTATTTCCGAGTTATATCAAGAGTGTATAAGAGTTATAAACAAAACTACTCAGGAACCCTCTACAAGTAACACTCTAATGAAGCCACCCCAATAAAGTCGAAAGACCCTAACTCTACGAGAGACAAAAGTAGTGCTTTATGCGCCACTCTATAGGCAGCACTGTTGGCGGCTCTAGGAACCGCCCTAAACTAAATACAAACAGACAAAGAGTCTACGATCTGACGACACTCCTGGAACACCGGACCTCCAAAGGAATCTTCTAGGACATCATGACGGATAGCTAGGAACTCTGCCAGGTAGGGGTAGACTACTCCCTAGTGACGCATACCGGCTGCCAGCACCACCTGCCCGTCTAACTCACGGATAGCCAGACCAAACGAGCATCATGAGTCACGAATAGCTGCATCAAAGTTGATCTTCAAATAGTTGTCCGATGGAGGCTCTCAAATGGTTGGAGGAGGAATTGGAAGGAGCGATCTAGGGGGGAGGGGAGGAGGAGGGGGTGAATAATGGAGACTTCACGGACCTGGTTGTAGAATTGTCTAGTGAGGGACGGACATGAGGTTGATAGAATTCAAAAATCACTTTATTTCTAGACTTCCAGATTCTCCAATGTAACCAGGCGCATTGGAGATTGTGGAATGGGGAGATCTTAGAGATCATTACTAAAATTGACAGTCGAGGCGGAACCAATGAAGTTGCTCAATTCCACTAAGGTCCACAACTTGGTGACTAGGGGGCATCTGAAGAATATAAGTGTTCAATGCTCTCTCGATGTCGCCAGCACATGAGATATCGATTGAGACAATTAACTCCACGAATTCGAAGGGCTGCCATTATTGGAAGAAGTACCTTGAGGTATTGCCCTATGAAGACAAACCTTGAGGAATTAAGTACATGAGTAGTTAAAATCCCCTACATCAAATTATAACATCCAAAAGCTATCACATGGAGTTTCATAGTGATAGACCGGTTCCCTCTCCGCTTTTGGGGTTACTTCCAGAATCACATGCCAAAAGTTCTCTTCGCAATTGGAAGGTTAATTTCAAAAGAACGATGTGGTCGAGGAGAGGAGTTTGCGCCATAAATACTTTGAAAGTCAGAAATTAATTCTGGAAGTAAGAAATTAATTCTTTCTATCCCATAATTTGGGAGATAAATCAACCATTAAAAGTTGTAAAGCGCCATAAAATAATCGCTTTAGTGACTCATTAATCACTTATAATGGATCATTAAATACCCAATAACAACAAATATCATAAATGATGTATTAAAACTCAATTAGGGCGAAACGACCAATGGAGCCATTAATTGGTCATTTACTTCTCGCCGGAGGAAGATTGATTACAGAGATCGTTGGACCAACTGTCGCCAGAGACATGTGTAGAAGCTCCGTCCAGAAGAAAAGAGCAAGTTAGCTTTGTAGAAGACAACACTATGTCGCGAAGAAACCTTTATGATATGATATCCACCCTGTATTCTATTCTGCACCTAGCTTTTAATAATTAATTAAGATAGGCTTCAGAACTTTTTGGCAGTATATATGCTTAATGAATCTTTATCCATGCATTTGTATGTAATGTAGAATCTCCACCCTGTATTCTGATATGCACCTAACTTTTAATCCTTTTTTTAATTAAAGCAAAAAGATGTTTGCTGTAATCGAACTGTTCCAAACTCTTACGAGAGTAGAGGAGAAAAAGGTTCCAGGGAGACAAGGAACTAACTATGATTCCATTTTACAGCGCAGATTCAGCAGCTAGCTAGGTTGTCAACTAATTTCCACTACGCAACGACGAGCTAATAGGGCAGGGAGGCAAGCAGTTGGCTTAAAAATGGGATCGCCATCGGCAAAAGCAACAAAGATATCGAGCTGGAGTGGGAGTAGTAGTGGGGAGTGGCGTCATTTCTGCTTCGTTGTCAAAGCTAGGCTTTCATAATCATATATCCTTATCTAAACACAATCGCCCTCTGATTTCTAGCTACCTACTATGTATAATGTAGCCCAAGATTTGAATCTTCACAATTTTGATGGCGTGGTGGTGGTACCATATGCGCACCTAGTGATGGTAAACTATGTGATGTGTGATTCAACTGTCAACGATGCAATAAGATAATATCGATGTTCAGATGTATATACATACATATTTAAATTCATCAAACTGGGTTTCGCATGCTCCCCCCTTATTCGTAATTGTACTGGCTAGCATGCATGCATATGCATACAGATACCGCCGAAATGTAGCTACAGTTTGTTGCATCCACACCGTCGGTTCAACAGTAACTGAAAGTGTGCAAGGGGGCGCGTGCATTCAAACAACATCAACATGCGTTAATTCCTTCCGTATCGTCAAACACTCATCAGTAGCTAACCAGATTACTATTCCCTTGCTAGGGGTGGAGTATAAGTTGGTAGATTTCCCACTTGTAATTAACGTTATGCAGTGCTATTATCATATATCATTACAAGAATCGCATGAAAATCAAAACATGTGGTCCTTGTCATCAATAGACACTTCTAGATGATTTGATATTTGTGAAATCTCATATAGCATGTTATTATCGATCATTCAAACTAATCTACTGTGCACACTTGTTTAATTTGTTTGAAAATGAAAACTAGGCCAACATGAGAGGTGATCATACATACGTCATCACCACCCTATATATGCATGACTGAGGTAGTTAATTAATTACTAATTAGTTCGTTCTATATCCATGGAAGGTTGTTAATTAATAATAATCACCGTCGCAGTCAAGTCATGCAGAAATAGGGTAGCCCAAAGAAAGATTTTGTTGCATCGACCCATATATATGTTTATCACCAAGTCCAAGTGGTTGGTTGGGAGGGACCAAATTTTACGATGTCGACGAAAAGAGGAATCACAAGACACGTAATAAAATGAATGGCAACAGGCGAAGATATTATTTTTATTAATAATTATACAAATAAAATCCAAAATTGGGCCGGAGCCATCGTAATCAATTTCACCTTGCTAATCCGCGTGGAGGACATTGTGTCGTTTAAATAATAAATAGCATGCCCTCGCGTCCCCTAATTACTTCCTTCACAAGCCGGCCAATGGTGCCACCCACCGCGGTTTTATTATGTTATAAATCAACGGGTCTCAATAACTCGAGTTATTGAGAGATATTTATACAACATACTTAATTACATGTTTAATATGTCTTTCAAACGAAAATTAACTCATGGACTGGCTTAATTGCAAGTTTGGTCACTCGAATTGCTAAAAATTCCATTTATAGTCACTCAAATTAGTTGAACAGTCCAAGTTCGGTCACTCTCCGTTAAACTTCGTTAGACTCCATTAATGACGACCGTTAAGTGATGACTTGGCTAACAAAAAGACACAGTCAGCATATTTTAACATTAAAAAATGACCACCTGACACGCTAAAACACAACACCTAACAATGGCCAAGTGTAACCAATGAAAGGGACTGCAGTATAGTGGCACAAGTAATAAATATCGAATCCACGGGTCTCTAGAGTTACTATTACTCAGCTTCGTTCATTATCTAGCAAACTAGATGAAGGATTGATTTATAAACTACTCTACTGACTACTCTACTAATTACAAGTTGGGAAATCATTTAGGTATGATTCCCCCTAGCTCCTCAATTAGGTCCAAGTTGCAATTACTTTTGGTTGGTCTACTGTTGATTAAACTGCGGAAGATCCTAAATTAGCTTGGAATCTCTTAAGCTGACCAAGCCCTCT